TGGTGGTCATGAGCTTAGGCTCTGACAGCAGATTGCCTCAGTTTGAATCTCATCTCCTCACTTACTAGCTGTGTGATCTTGGGCAAATGACTTAACCTCTCTGTACTTCACTTTCTCCATATGAAACGGCTATAATAATAGTTACCTCATAGGATTGTTATGAGGATTTTAAAAGTTACCTCATAGGATTGTTATGAGGATTTTAAAAGTTAGTATAGGCTTTTACTTCCAGGAAGAAACGGAATAGATGTAGTTTTCATTGTTCCTTCCACTAAGTGCATCTAAAATCCCTGGATATTCTATATAAAATAAAATACAAGAAGACTCTGAAAAGTGGAGAGGAGGAAGCAGACAAGCTAATGATGTCAGGACCCAAGGAATAAGTGATGGCAAGTTCCTAGGTTTTCTTTTCACTGTGTATATTCCACACTGGTTACTGGAGAAGCCAGAAACCTGGAAATACCAATGGACACAGATTAAAAAAATAATGCCCCTAAGAAAAGCCTTCTGTCTTTAGCCAAAGAACCAGGAAAGGATTAGTCTAGCAAGACAGAAAACCTTTAAACAATAACTGCTCTACTCTAGGCAAACATCACAGAAAATAACCGTGGCTCCACCCACACAATCACCAGTGGGGAGCCTAGGCTTCTACTCTTTCCAGGCTGGAATGAGTCATCTCAATCCTTCTGCCAGGGTAAGTGTCAGAGAAGGCTGATGGAGAGCCATGACTTTCATCTCTGCTTGGTAGTAAACAGTACCGAATCCTCCATGCTATCAGTGGAGATCAAATGAGGAACCTGGACTTCCATCTCCACCCATAGAACACCTCCTCCTCCTTGCTGAGTGGTGTCAGAGGAGGCCTAGTAGAGAGCCAGGACTTTCATCCCCTCTCAGGAGCAACAATGCCATATATGCCTCCATGGTGTCAGCAGAGGCCCCATAGGGAGCCAGAACTCCCGCCTCCACTTGACAGGAGTGAAATGCCCCTTCTCCTACCCAGGGTATCACAGAGGAGAACCAAGACTTCCACCCCTGCCTGGCAGTAATGAGGTAGCATCCCCCTTTACCCACCAGAGCCATGTCAGAGGAGGCCTGCTAAAACACAAGATCTAAAGACTTATGAGCCTTATAATACCCAAGATGTCCAGGTTTCAATAAAATATCACTAACCGTATCAAAACCCAGGAAGATCTCAAAGTGAATGAGAAAAAGACAATTAACAGATGCCAACAACAAGATGACACAGATGTTAGAATTATTTGACAAGGATTTTAAAGCAGCCATCATAAATATGTTTCTACAAGCAATTATGAGGATGCTTTGAAACCAATGAAAAAATAGGAAGTTTCAGCAAGAAATAGAAAGTCTTAGAAAAGAAATAGGATATGTCATCAAGAATCAAATGGGAATTTAGAACTAAAAAATGCAGTGACCAAAATAAAAATCTTAATGGATGAGCTCAACAGAAGAATGGAGAGTACAGAAGAAAGAATCTGTGAACTTGAAGATAGAAGAATAGAAACGATCCAGTCTGAACAAACAAGAAAAAATGGATTTAAAAAAATAGCAGAATCTTGAGGACCTATGGGACTATCATCATCAGAGTCCTGGAAGGAGAGGAGGAAGACAGAAGGGCTGAAAAAGTATTTGAAGAAATAATGGCTGAAATTTTCCCAAATTTGGCAAAAACCATAAACACACAGTTTCAAGAAGCTGACTGAGCTCCAAACAGGCTAAACATAAAGAAATCCACGTCAAGGCACATCATAGCCAAACTTCTGAAAACTGAAGACAAAGAAAAATCTTGAAAACAGTCAGAGAGAAATGAAACATTACATATAGGGAAAAAACAATTAGAAGAGTAGCAGATTTCTCATCAGAAACTGCAGAAGCCAGAAGGAAGTGGCACACTTTTGAAGTATTGAAAGAAAAGAACGGTCAATCCAGAATTGTATATCCAGAGACAATATCCTTCAGAAATGAAAGATCAATAAACACATTCTCAGATGAAGGAAGACTAGGAGAATATGACTCCAAATTCACCAAATTAGGCCTACCCTAAAAGAATGACCAAAGGGAGTTCTCCTCTAAACAGAAAGGAAATGATAAAAGAAAGAATCTTGGAACATCAGGAAGGAAGAAAACATGAAAAGAGCAAAAATGTAGGTAAATATAATAGACTTTTCTTGTCTTGGGTTTTCTAAGTTATGTGTTTGACAGTTGAAACAAAAATTATAACATCGTCTAATGTGGTTCTCCATGTATGTAGAAGAAATATTTAAGGCAGTTATATTATAAATGCGAGAGGGTAAAGGAACATAAGGGAGGTAAGGTAAAATGTCAACACCAATAAATTTGATTGTAGTGGTGGTTACACAAATCTACATATGTGAGCAAATCACATAGAACTATACACATGAATTATATTGATGTCAAATTCCTGGTTTTGTTATTGTACTATAATTATGTAAGAGGTAACCATTGGGTGAAGGGTATGTGGAACCTCTTTGTACTATTTTTGCAAATTCCTGTGAGTCTATAATTATTTCAAAATTAAAAGTTATTAAAAAGTTAACATATATAAAGCACTTAGAATAGTTCCTGTTACACAGTAAGTACTATAACTGTGTTAGCTACCATTATTAAGTAACATTTGCAAGCATATTATTAGTCAAGCATCCTTAGGCCAAACCATGGAAAATTATATTTGCCATGGTCATTTCTTCAGTTCTATTATTTAACTTTAGGTGAGTTTCTTAAACTACTCTGAACTTTGGTTTCTGTACTTTTGGGTAAGGATTAAAGGAGATAGCAGACTTGAAACAGCTTAGTACAGAATCTGACACATAGTAGACATTCCACAAAGCTTAGCTCCTATGCTGTTTCCCTAAGTCATCACCCCAGGCTGGCTTTCCCATCTAAATCAAGTAACCAGTTCTAAATCCTACTTCCCTCGGAACCAAAGTCTCTTTGTGTGGACATCAAAATTCTGTTTTGCTTAAAATAATTTGAATTGAGTTTACATCATTTACAACCAAATATACCTCTCATATCTAAAGTGACAGTTAGTTAATCTGCTAAGCTAAATAACATAGGTAGTGGCCTCGAGTTAAATAATCGAAATAGAATTTCATGGCCAGAAGTTCTTTTAGAATTAATTTAGTCCAAACTTCCCTCCCCACCTCTCTGGAATTTTAAGATGAAGAAGCTCCCAAAAAGTTCACCAACTTGCTAAAGTCATGTAGCAAATTAGTGTTGGAACCAAGACTAGAACCTGGGATCTTGAGGCTATGCCCCTACTACCCTATGCTGTAGAGAAATGGGAACATAAATCAAAACCAGACACCTCTCTCTCTGAGTTCTATTTCTAGTTGTTGTGATTGCTGTCTAACTTTCAGACAACAGTGAATGCTTATTTTGAGCTTGTAGTCAAGAAGATGTTTCAGTTTTTTTTCACTTGAAATACAAGTAAATTCAAGTCTCACCATTCTGTTTTTGAGCAGCAGTTATTTTTTTAAGCACACATACTCAGTTTTACATTAACTCAAATTACTTTTTGGATCAGCCTTTTTAGATCTTCTGGAATCTTCATTTTGACATTCAGCTTATCACCTATTAATCACTCCACATTTTGTATTATCTGCAAATTTGATAAGCATGCTTCCAATATGCTCATTCATGTTAAGTGACTCATGAAAATGTTTAACAGGATATGGCCAGAGGCCTGTGACAAACTGCTAGATTTCTATTTCACCTTTGTATAAATCGTTTCAACTTTTAACAAACTGTACTATCATCCAATCCGCCTTGTCCATGAAGATTTGTCAAATGCCTCAAAAAAAGGATATGCAAGGTCTACACCATTTTTTTGATCTACCATAGTAGTAAGAGTAGTGATGAATAATAATGGCTACTACTTATTGAGTGACCAAAACTTTTTCACGCTGTTTCATATTATCATATGAAAAATATGAATATCACATGAAAAATTATCATATCAAAAATAATATTCATATTATTTTTAATTTAGTCCTTTCAAAAACTCTCTGAGGTAGGTGTTATTATTTTAATTATTGCCATAGTAGAAAAATTCGGGCTCCCTAGGGCATACATGAGTGTAGTCTGGTTTTAGCTAACCACATATTTATTTTTCTAAATATTGTTGTTTTACTGGCTGGTGGAAAAGCAGAAGAATGCCTGGAGAAGCTGCGGGGAAAGTGGTGGGGGTTTTTTTTGTTTGTTTGTTTTGTTTTTTTGAGGAAGTGAGAGGTGAAGGAGATGACGCAGATTCCCTAGGGGAGGAATTTTAGGCAAGAGCCAGGTTAGATAAGAGGATTTTTATGAAGTTTTTGTTGTGTCGTGTATAACATAGTCCCCATTATTTCTCAATGACTTCAAAGTTTGAATTGTTGGTGTTTTGTAATAAGCCCACGTGTGTGAGATTGATCTCAAGGAAGGCCCTGGGTAAGAGCAGAGCTGGCCCAATGAAGCTCCATCACATTTGGGTTACATCACAGGCTCCGAGAAGTCAAGTGTCCAAGTCTCACCTCTAGTAAGTGGTGGAGCTGGGATTAGAATTCAGCCTCCTCCCACTCCAAGGCCCGCTCTCTTCCCTTGCGTGACGCTGCAGGGGTCAAACCAGGGAGAGTAGGAACCCTATCAGAAAGGAGGAATGCCTCATTTAGATCCATTTATTTTTTAGTGAATTCATGCTGTGCCTTGTTTTCGCCACTTTTCTAAAGATTCACAAGCCATTTGTCTAATTATCCATTCCAGAATTTTGCCAAGGAAAAATGTGCTTACAGGCTTGCAGTTTCTTCTTTTAGAAAACGAGGACATTTGTCCATCTCCAGGCTTCTGGCACCTCTTCTGTTCCCAACAAAGTTACCACCACGTTTCAAACTCTTTCAGTAAACCAGACAGGTGAAGTTGTGTTAAGGACCTGGACGCTGTTTTACGTCTTTACTGCCTTGGACTTAAATTCTCTCTTTCTTTTGTAGGTCCTACTCTTTCTAATTTGAGGATAATTCTTGGTGATGGAAAATGGAAGCAAAGTGGGAGCTGATGAATTCTGCTTTTTTCTCTGTCATCTGTTGTCACTACACCTTCTGTTCCCTGTTCTTCTTGCTCAGAACATCAACTTTCCTGACATTACCTTTATCTATCAGTGCTATTAAACACTATGATTACAAGTTAGTATTTTTGGATTAATTTATTAAAATATATCATAGAGAATTTAGTACAAAACCTTGCTTTTAAAAATATTTTACCTATTCCAAAGAATTTTTATAGCTGGCTGTTCTCTTATGTAACAAATAATAACTACAAAGTACCCTATTTACAAGATTTCCTCTAAAATATAGAGTTTCAGACAGTAATTCAACAACTTTATTGTTAAAATGGAGGCCTTTTTTCCCAGTTTTATTGAGTTATAATTGACATATAACATGGGTAAGTTTAAGGGGTACAAATGTGATGATTTGATACATTTATATATTGCAAAATGATTACCACCTCCATCCAGTCACATAATTACCATTTCTTTTTTGTGATAAGAACTCTTAAGATCTACTCTCAGCAACTTTCAAGTATATAATACAGTATTATTAACTATAATCACCATGCTGTACATTAGATCCCCAGAACTTATTCATCTTATAGCTGGAAGTTTATAGTCTTTGACCAACATCTCCCCATTTCCCCCATCCCCCAACCCCTGGCAACCACCACTCTACTCTGTGTTTCTCTGAGTTTGGCCTTTTTAGATTAAAATGGAGGACTTTTTAAATGGTAGGAGTAGAAATTGAGTGTCATTTCTTAGAAAACACAAAATGATAATGCCGGAAAAAGAAGAAATACTATATTAATAATAGAAATTTTGTTTTGACCATTTTTTCCCCTTCCAAGTTATTCATTCTCTCTGGGGAGGTAAACTAGCCTTACATTTTAATACTTGATTTGAATTTCCACGGATTTTCTATTAAAAAAAAAAAAGATGTTTGCATCATTCTGTACTTCCCCGAAGAGCTAGCAAGAAACCCTCTTCAAAGTAAGTGGTTAAATTCTATGCTCAGTTGCCTTGTTTACGTGATTTTGAACCTTAAACAGAGGTGACTCAGAGCTGACTCTTTGGGTGGGCGTCTTAGGATTCGGCCACTGCAAAGTTTATGCTTGGCGTTTTCAGCATTTCCTACCCTCTCTGCCCTTCCTAAATTCTCTTAATGTGGCAGGGTTTTCAGTTTGCTTCAATGAAGCGTTCTAGAGGAGCTGCCACACATAGTCCCTGTCCTTTGCATTGGATTACGAGTATGAGTCCGTCTCTGCCTTTAAGGAACTCATAGCCTACTTGGATAGACAGCCATGCCAATAAATAATATAACAGTGTGTGATGTGTGAAACAACTGAAGCATATGCAAGGGAGTGAAACAGTGCAAAGGAGGGTACTCTCACTGTGAGGCCCAGGGAAGTGTCACAGAGCACCAGTGAGTGCCGCGGTCAGCGGATATAAAAGGATGACTAGGTATGCAGCAAGAAGTTAAGGTGGAAAGGACATTCCAGACAGCAAACACACCATACACAAGACCATGATGTGTGTGGAAACAGAGACGTGACCAATGTTCTAGTGCACTGTGTAAGTGGAGTGTGGGATCCGGATCATGATGTCGTGTATATGTGTAAAGGAATTTGAACTTTGTCCTGGATGCAGAGGGTTTTGAGTGGGGAAATGACATGGTCAGAAAAAGTTCTTTGAGGATCATCTGGCAGCAATATGGTGGATGGCTTGTAGAGGACGTGACTCTAGGCAGGATCACCAGTTAGGAGATTACTGCATCAGCCTAGGTCCTGAGCTAAGTATTGGTACCGAAAAAGAGAGAACGCCAAAATGTAAGCTGTCTGGGAGGTTACATTAACAGAATCCAGTAGTTTGGATGTGGGAAAGGAAGCTGGTAAAATGGCTCCTAGAGTTCTGGTTTGTGGTTTAGATAGCTGTTTGAGACTTCCTAACTAATATCCCTGCTTCAACTCTAACTGATAACCTAACTAATAAACCTACTTCCCACTCTACTGTCTCACATGCAGTCTGAGTGACTTTTCCCTCTCTTTGTTTTGTAAAATTTCAATTGAAAAATAGTATAATGAATACCCACATAGCTTTCACCTGGATTCACCATTTGCTAACATTTTACCACATTTGTGCTCTCTTTCTCCCTTCCTCTCTCTCACTCTCTCTCTCCCTCTGTCCCTCTATAGTGGATTTGTGTCGTGTCAATTTAGCTCAACTGGAACTATGTTTCTAAGAATTCACTTCCCTGCATAGTGGCAAGAACTGTAAAGGGTCTTGAGATTTTACCCGCTTAAAAGCCCGGTACAGTTCCTGGGTCTGTTAGAAGACACGAGACTACCAGGTTAGAAACAGAGGACTTTATTACTCTCACCATAGTAGGCAGCACGAGCTTCATATTCATAGAGCTCCTTTCGCCCACCCCCAACCTCTTGCCCACCAAGTCCCACAGGGGCAACATGGAGGTGGGCTCAGGTGGATGCTGCACATTTAATGGGTTTGTGTCACAGCTGAGGGACCCTGATTATAATGGACTGCAAGCAAACTTGTCCAACCTTTGCCTTGGAAGGTGACATTATCATATTATTGTCTTGTACTCGAGAGCAAACAAATCTGCCCTCTCTCCTAGAGGAAGACACTATCTCTTTCTTCCAAGGCTATTCACTATGCAAATATCTTTTAAAGGATATTCCAGAATAAAGTCTGACACTGCCTTTGCCCTCAAGATGTATAGAGAAGTGAGATAACCTTGGAGAATTGTTGCCCAATACATAGTTCCAGGACCATGAGGGATTTTTTGCATGAGATTTAGAAGGCGGAAGTGAAGTAACAGCCGTTTTGTTTTTATACTTTAATGTCAGTGCAGAGCACCAGCGAGTGTTACAGTTGTCTCTTATCTCCTGGCTCCTCTGGCTGGTGTGGAGCAGTAGGCAGCTCTCCTCCTTCACCTTCTTCAACTCCTGGGGAGGGTGCCTGAATAGCTCTTAGATGAAAGGAACCAGTTTTATTCCTTGCATTATACCCCCATGATAAAAGATGGAAGCTCAGAGGTGACAAAAGACCTCCCTGAGTTCCTGTGCATTCTGTTGATGTGTCCAGCTCAACCTCACAGATTTCAGCTTGTTCTTGCCTCCCCTACTTCACATCCATCTTCCTTTCCTGCCCTGTGGACTACATGCTCCAGAACCAGACATAGAAACAATAGCCTTATATAGATGAATCAAGATAGTGCAGTACTGGCATAAAAATCAATATGTAGATCAATGGAACATAGAGCTGCAACATAGACCCACACTTATAAAAACACTTTATTTTTGACAAAGGCATCAAAACAATCCAATGCAGAAAGGAAAGTCTTTCAACGAATAGTGTTGAAACAAGAAGATATCCAAAATTGTTTTGGTTGTTTTAGTTTCTTGCATTTCCATGTACGTTTTAAAATCAGCTTGTCCATCTCTCCAAAGAGTCTTCAGGGATTTTGATTAAGACTGCATTGACTCTATAGATAATTTGGGGATAACTGACATCTTAACAATTTTGGGTCTTCCAATCCATGAATATAGTATAGTTTTCTATGATTTGAATTTTTAATTTCTCTCAGACACGTTTTACTTTTTTTCAGTGAAGAGGTCTTGGATACTTTTTGTTAAATTTATTCCTAATTATGTTATTTTTAAATGCTATTGTCAATAGTATTTTAAAATTTTTATCTCCCAATAGTTTGTCACTAATGTATTTACATACAATTGATTCTTTAACTCTGCTTTCCTGCTAAATTTGCTTCTTAATTATAGCATTTTTTGGCTTCTTCCATAAGATTTTCTATGTAAGCAATCAATCAGACAATCTGTGAATAGAAAGAGTTTTATTCCTTCCTTTTGAATCTCTGTATCTTTTTTTTCTTGACTTGTTGTGTTAGCTGGGACCTCCAATACAATAGTGATAGAAGTGGTGAATGTGGGTGTCCTGACTTTATGCTCAGTCTTAGAAGGAAAGCATTCCCTAGTCCACCATGAAGTATGATACTAGCTGCAGTTTTTGTACCTGTTTCTACTCAGACTAAGGAAGTTCTCTTCTATTCTTAGTTTGATGAGAATTTATGTCATGAATGATTACTGAATTTTGTCAAATGCTTTTTCTGTGTTGACAGACAGGAGATATAGAGCTATATATATATATTTATATTTATATATCTAGATCTAGATTTCTATATATAGATCTTTGGGACCCCCCCCCCCCACCTTCTATATAGCTTGTTCCTCTTTAATGCCTCGCCCCAGAGATTTTAGCCAACTCTCATTTCTGCCTCCTCAGTTCAGCAGGATCTCTATGCTCTGCTCAGACTCAAGCTCTCAGTACTATTGTTAGGAAACTATCCCCAGGCAGAGAGCTGATCAATCATGGGACTCACCTCATGAGTTTCCTTTCTCTCAGAAACTGCAGTCTATGCTGTTTATTGTATACTGTCTGAAAACAGTTGCTGAATATGTGTTGTGCAGTTTTACAGTTGATTATTCCACTATGACCCGAAGTGGAAATCAAACAGTAAAATTTCAAAAATGGTTTTCTCTTTCTCTTAATTATGGAGTAACAGACTTCTCATTTTTATATATTTTCAAAATTACTTCAATGACAAAGTTTTCCCTATATTTAGGAAAAACTTATGGTTTAAAACATATGTATATTTCTTTTGGCACGTCTATAATCATCCTACTCCTACCCTGGGGTGGACACACTCTACTTGGAAGGCCAACATTGGATCCTGGGATCTTGTTGAAAAGATCATTAACTGGAAGACCAGTAGAAAACAAACATCGCACCAAAAACTTGGGACATGATGCCTCTCTTCTAGCATTGTGTCTGCATTCCAGGTAGGAATATGGGTAAGGGTGAAAGGCAGAAGAGAGTATGTATGCTAAATGAGTTTGTCCTCATTCCATTGGTGAGAGAGAATAGGTTAATGGATATTGGGTAGACAATTTGAAATCTCTGTCACCGACGCCAGCAAGCAAGACCTGAAAAGTCATATAACTCATTGGTCATTTTGCAAATGGGAGAACTGAGGCCTGGAGAAGTTAGTTTGCCTCCGATCATATAGTTCGTCAATGATGACAAACTGGAGT